GGCCGTTGCGGTCGCCGCCTCGGAGCTGTCTTTTCTTAGCGTCTCCACGGAAACCATGACACGATGCACGCGACGCATCTTTCGCTCGCATGCACCCACAGCCATCCCGGGCGTACCTTTGACAGCGAACCGGGAATATGCGGTGATGAAGCTGGAATTCTTGTCCTTCTTCTTATACCGGTCGAACTCTGCAAAGACTTCGCGCAGTGACCGGCCGCCCATGATGAGGCTTGGCTGCACCCACACTTTCCAGGCAGCAGCAACAGTGGTGGCTTCGCGCCAAGACACAACGACCACGACGAAGAATTCTTGGACGGCAACTGGTGCTTTGGATGCGTCCGTTGCCTGGTTTCCTCCTGTTCCCGCGCTCTTCGACGATCCGTCGATCTCTGCAGAGGTGTTTGCCGCGTCATCCCTGGCCGCAACAGACCTCTTGTATGCTTCGAACTCTGCAATGACCCGAGCCTTGTCCTCTCGCTCAGCGGCGAGTTTCTCCCTCAGTTCAGCGTTCTCCATCGCCAACTGCATTTCACGTCCTCTCAAAATCCCAAGCTCCTCCCTGAGCATATTGGCGGTGAGGTGCATCTTATGCAGCTTCTCTTCTGCGGTCGTGCGAAAGATAGCGTCCTGCAGAAACCAGCACGGCAGAACTCAGCATGAACGAATAACTCCTCTCTACCACTAATAGCAGGCACTTACTGCTTTGGCGGTGGTTTGGCCGGTTGCCCGAAGCTTCTCGCCCTGGAAGTGAGAAATAGCGACCAGGTACGCCCACTTTTGGAACAGCGGGTGGTTGCACAAGGGGCTCATCTGCACATATGGATGCCTCTCGCAATTGCACCGCGGGTTTCTCACGCCGTGCTGATGGCAGAACGCCCACATCATAGCCAGATCCTGTGCAACAACGAGGCGTCCGATGCTGGCGAGGGTGTCTAGGAACCTCGCCCCCGCATAGTGCCTCTTCAGCGGATCGGTCTGCGCAGCGTTCCATTCTTCGACCTGACGGGACGAGTATGCAGGAGAAATGGGACGGTTCATCATTGCGTATCAATTTTAAGCTACGAACGCGAAGACTGTACACTAGCACGTACCTTCTTCCAACCCTCTTCGACCCAGGGGAAAATGTGAAGCCTCAAGAGATCCAAGAGCTGCAACCACTCATCCTTCTCCTTAACCTTATGCCGCGGAAGCTTGGCGCGGGCTCTGCCGATGTAGTAGTCTCCACGATCCCCGCTGAATCCTGCCAGCAGCCAAACCGGCTTGAACGGTATGCCGAACACATAACACCTCCGCAACTCCCCCTGCGCCCATCCGCCCAGAGTGCCGATATCGTTGTCGGAGCAACCGTCGTCATGGAGTTGTTGCGCTCCGGATCTGCGGAATGCATGTGTTACCTTGCTCAGAATCCATCTCGCCTTCGTCATGGCCCACTTAATCCAGGTGTTATGCGTTTTGTAGTGCATCTCGTCTTGCTTCTGCTCTCCCTGGTCGCCCTTCTTCAAAGAAAAGAAGAGGTGCGCTTTCGTCCACAAGATCGGTTCAGAAAAGTCGAGAGGCTCGACGATACCGGGGCCGTAGCGCAGAGGAACGAGGTCGTAGATGAAATAAAGCCACAGGAACACATGGCCCATTCCGCAGAGCCGCCAGTCCCTATGCCTTGCAAGAAACTGATGATTCAGCTTGTTGTTGGGGTTGGTCTTCGACTTCCTGGAAACAACGACGAGTACGAAAACGTCCAGATAGTCGTCGAGGTGTGATGTGCTCCGCGTCATGCGGACAAAGAGGTTCCCAAGTCGAATCTTTCGAATGCTGCACCCTCTTCCGAGAAATTGGTGTCCGAGGTGCATCATAACCGGGACTTGCAGAGCCTTCCAGAGAGGAAGCGAGATTTGTGACGGAGGCGTCCGCCACCAGATCTCTAGGAGCTCTTTTCGCAGAACAGTAAGATGCAGCGTCCTATACTGGCTTCCCGTATAGCAATCACCAATTGATCCACGGGTTTGATCTCGACCATCCCTGCATAGAATAGCACAGTAATTAGGTAAACCATGTAGAACAACATTCACACAAACAGAAAGCACCCGTATACGTTACTCACGCGACTTGCTCGTCGTTCAGATCCTTCAGCTTCACTTTGAAAAAATCCCGAGCATCCTTGATCCAGTCCTTGGTCAGTGTGATGGAGAAGCCGTAGAGCCTCGCCTCGCACCTGGCAAGGCATCCCATTGCGTTCATCTTTGCCTTGATCATTGAAGCCGTGCACCCCTTTGCCTCCTTCCCCACATATTTCTCGACGTCTGGCCGCATTTTTCCACGCAAAAACTTTGCCTGCTCGTCAGTTTCGCAGAAGAGATACTCGATGTATCGGCCGAGCCTCCATTCCGTGATTCGCGGCCCGTGCAGATGAATCTGCCACTCGTCAGAGCTGCACGACCACCCATCGTTTCCCAAGTTATTGCTCATATGAAACCCAACCTCGTCATGCAGAGAGGGAGCAAGGCTATCTGCCACAGGGACATCTACCATAGTTGCCATGAAGATGATCACCCACCACTTGAAGTGTAGAAAGTGGAAACAATAGTGCCTTCTCGTCCCGGCCTCTATCAGTCGAAGCGGGATTGTTGAACGCCGGATCCTGCTCTCCTTTTCCGCAACGTCGGTCTGCCGCTGCGCATTTCCGGGGGCCACAGCCTGCTCGACATGGCTCGCAGAATCGGGAGGTCGTCGTCGTCCCGGCGATGATTCTCCCTCCTCTTCTGCGTCAGAGTGATCTCCATCCTCCTCGTACTGTTCTTCGGGTGCACCGGGTCGTGGGCGCACTCCATCGCCTCCCGGCCCTTCACTCTCTTCTTCACTCCCCTGGACTTGAATCCGGACAGATGGTTCGTAGATACCACCCTGAAACAAATCCTCCTCGGTCGCCTCAAACTCGCTATCGTTCTCGCGATCCTGTGCGTAGTCTGGGTCAGTATTTTCAACGTCCTCTAGGTCTATTTCTCCATCCTCTGCGCCCTGGGCTGCCATGGGGCGAGAGTGGACCGAGCTGTCGGCCATTCACAGATTCCTAATTTATTAGCTAGCAACCGAGACTAGACGAAAGAATCGGATGGTGACAGCCGCGGTAGGTGGTAACGATTCGCAAGTGTGCAGATAACATAGGCAGAATGCTTAGTGGGCTAAGCGCAGAAGGCGTAAGAGAGTCTGTGCTTCAGACGTCTACACATTGGTCTTCGAACACCGCCTACAACTTGCGTTTACATATATATCTGCGCCTACAACTTGCGTATACAGGGTCGCTTGACTGTCCCGTACCGTATAGCTCTGTCACACTTTGTTTTACCGCTTTAATTCTCTACAACGAAACAACGAAAATAAGTTCCTACCATTATACGGATATAATCATCTACGGAACCCTTATGCTTGTACATAACTTTCGTGGGTTCGACGATATTATGGATTGGGAGCGAATACCTTTACCGATAAAAGAAGCCTAACGTCGAAGATGTCCGCCTACAAGAGCGGACGACCTATGACAATTGTTCCGGGCAAATACAAACAGTTCTACCGACAAAATATTATACCACACACATCTGCGCCTACATATGCGACCTAACAAGTACGACTGCAGTTATCCTAACCGGGCTGACCCAAAAAAAAAACCCACTCTATACGACCTACGTCACTATGTCGAGGATCGCCAATGTTATGCCAGTGGGCCAAGCAGGCTTAAAAGATTACGCTGGTGGACTAACAGGTGCTGGAAGAAAAGATCTCAAAGAGCTTGCGGAACATGAAATGCAAATGAAAAGGAGCAAATGAGCACGAAAACATCTATTCATACCCATCCACCACACACAGAAGCCCGTGTCCAGATCTGGTCATCCAACCCTGGGCTGGATGATTCTCCCGCCAAAAAACAACAGTTGGGATATGGTCCTACTAGACGCTGATTGGCTCTTGCAGCCTTGGGACTCTGACAACAACTGTTGCCATGGCCACGTGTGCAGAACACCTACAGTTGGTAAACAATGACTATAAAACACAATGAGCAAACGTAGGATGCTACACTTGAACTCATGTTATTTATAAAACACATAACATCAATGGTATAAAGGAACACACGTGCTGCAGCTTTAAGGTGGCAGCAAAAAAAAAACCGAGTTAAAGCATATAACGACGCAAGGAAGACCAGTTGGTCGCAACCGGCCATGCGACCGGCGGTCGTCACTTGTCGGCCAAAGAGTTACGATGGCGAAACATGTCATTCGCGACAAACATCACTGGCACAAAGGGTCAGGGCAGGTTGGTTGGAACACATTTTTCACGGTCAGGTGGGCGCGGAATTGTGGGCGGCTGGCCGTGTCGTATGCGGCGGAGCCTTGCGCCCAAGCCCTTCGGAATCCGGAACACACGGATCCAAGGCCTCGGATCATGGGGCAAACGCACTCGGAACTCCGCCACAACGTGGTAAGAGTCCCCACAGACGGACCCAAAACATCCACCCCGCACTTGAATCCTGTCCTCCCAACTCGACAGACAGGCGGAGCAGGCACGGTTTTCGCACCATTTGACACGGTGCAGTTCGGTGCGATGTTCCCTTACGCCACTTGTGCTTTCAAATGAACTCAACAAACACACATCCATCGAAATGTACCAACCAAATCTGACCGTTTTCCCTAGCGCTCCGCAGACTTGTTTCTAAGCTTAGCTAGTAGTTCTCGAGTCTAGCGTTCCTTGCGGACTTGTCGGCAGAGTGGGAGCGGCGTGGCGAGCGAGTCCTCGCGCGGGGCTATGGCGAGCGTCAATCCCATATCCCTCGCAGGACCCTCGCCGCAGGACGTTCAACGGACGAAGGAGCTTGAGAAGGTGATGCCGCGCGAGATGCGGTGGACGCGCGAGACGAGATAGCGAGATGCGCTAGATGTGACAGATGCGTGAGATGCAGTAGTCGCGCAAGACGCGCGAGATGCGCGAATCTGCGCTTCCAACTTGTAGGATCTATGCTGCCGTGTCTGCCGTCCACGCAGTATCGATTATCAGTTGAGGCTTCTAGTATTGAGGAGGTATCAGTACTATTTGAGCCTTCTAGTGTGAGCGAGGCACTGACGCGTTGATGCCGTGCTGCTGGGCTTTGACTGGGACATGTGCAGTTTCGACTCAAATTACACCTTGATGACATGCTGTGCGATTGGGCTTTAACTGGGACATGTGCAGTTTCTGGTGGATGCGGGGTTGTACGAGAGCCAAGACGAGGCCATCTTGCGGGAGGAGGTTCTCGGTCGCCTCGACGAGGTTAGTGTGTCGGTCGCCTCGACGAGGTTAGTCTGTCGGTCGCCTCGACGAGGTTAGTCCGCTGAGCACTCGAAAGAAACGCACCGCCACGTGCGTTTCGCCAAGACGCACCGCAAGCGATTGTCTGTCTGTCTCTGGTATTCGCGATTTGATGCGCATGTGCAACTCCATCTCGTGTTGTTTGCATGTCGGTCGCGCGGATGGCGAAGGCGTGCGTGCGGAGCGTGGTTGGGGAGCGTGCGGAGCGTGGTTGGGGAGCGTGCGTGCCTGTTTCTCTTTCTGACTAGCCTGCGTACATCTGTTTTCCCCTGTGCTTGCATGCGTGTGTGTGTGCGTGCGCGTGTGCGTGTGCGTGTGTTTGTCCGTTTCTTCCCACGTCGCATCGCAGATAGTGAAGGTGTGGGTGAAGAGCGTGAGTCGTCGCAAGGGCTTTAACGATCAGTTCGTAGCGGACGCCAACGCCAAGATATTCACCTTCGGCTCCTACCGCCTCGGGGTGAGCACCTTCGCCGCGCGCTTCTGCTCCGCGCGCTTACTTTCCGCGCTTCGATCTTCACCTGTCAGGTGCTTACCGCCTCGGGGTGAGCGGTGGCGCTACTACCGCCTGGGGATGAGCACCCTGTCGTGCACTCTTCTGCCCCGCGCTCTGACGTTCCGCGCTTTGTTCCATCCGTTCTAATTGCCGTCTGCTAATTGCCGTCCTTGCCGTCCCGCGTGTATCCACCAGGTGCACGGCCCAGGCGCCGATATCGACACGCTGTGTGTGGGCCCGCGTCACGCCACCAGGGAGGTACGCCCTCCCGCTGTTGCCACTCCATTTTCACCCACAACGGCTCTGGCTGCTCTTTCGTGCACAAGTATTGCCTCGCTGGCCGTTCCAGTGGTTCATCATGTCCGGAACATTAACCCTTTTTCCCGCTCGCTCCGGCTCGTTCCTCCCTCCTCGAGGTGCCCCAGTCCACCTACCCACGTGTCTGTCCTCCCCCCCCACTCCCTCCCTCCCTCTCTCCCCACCCCCCCCGCCACGTTTTCCCCCACAGGAGGATTTCTTCGGCGCGCTACACGACATGCTCGCGCAGCTGCCGGAGGTTCTCCGGTCCCCCCAACCCACGCGCCTTTCCCCCGACGGCCCGCTCTCTCTCTCCCCCTCACTCCCCGGGTCCCCCCACCGCAGGAGGACTTCTTCGGCGCGCTACACGACATGCTGGCGCAGCTGGCGGAGGTGACGGAGCTACACTCCGTACCCGATGCACCCAGTTCCACCCACGCGTCTTCCCCTCCACTTTCCGCTTCTCTCTCCCCCTTCCCCCCCTGCCTGCTCTTCCGCAGGAGGACTTCTTCGGCGAGCTGCGCGACGTGCTGGCGCAGCTGGCGGAGGTGGGCCATTCCCCCCTGCACCACTCCCACCGCCTCCCGCCCTCTCCCTCTCGGGTGTTTCCCCTCCCCCCCCCCCCCCGCAGGAGGATTTTTTCGGCGAGTTGCACGACATGCTGGCGCAGCTGTCCGAGGTGACGGAGCTGCACTCGGTGCCCGATGCGCACGTGCCCGTGATGAAGTTCAAGTTCCGCGGCATCTCCATCGACCTGCTCTACGCGCAGCTCGCGCACACCGTCGTCCCCGAGGTGCGTGGCTTGCCATTCCCGAGGTGCGTGGATTGAGAAGGTCCGAGGTCCGTGTTTTTGCTGCGCGCCCTTACGCGCCGCGCCTCCCGCCATCGTCTCCAGGCATGGCGTGGCGTGGCGGGAGGTGCAACTGTCAGGGGAGGCGATTCACGTCACTCGAGTCGCTGGTTGACTCGCATCGCATGTGTTTGCTGGGTTGTGTGCGTGGCAGGACCTGGACCTCTCAGAGGAGGCGATACTGCAGAACGTGGGTGCGTGGACGCAGCGGTCGCTCAATGGCTGTCTGATGCTTGGCTCCATACTCACTGCATGTTCTCTCCACTGCACTGTTCCGTTGTGCGTGGGGTGTTTCTTGCGGGTTGTGCGTGGCAGGACCTGGATCTATCAGAGGAGGCGATACTGCAGAACGTGGACGAGTGGACGCAGCGGTCGCTCAACGGGTGCCGCGTGACGGACCAGATCCTCAAGCTCGTGCCCAACATTGAGGTACGCCTTACGTAAAGATCCAGATCCTCAAGCTCGTGCCCAACGTTGAGGTACGCGGAGCGGAGGGGAGGGGAGGGGAGGTGCGGGGCAGGGAGGGGAGGCGAGGGGCGGGGAGGGGAGGTGAGGGACGGGGAAGGGCGGGAACGTTATGGCAAATGTTGAGGCATGACAAATTTTGAGGTATGGCAAATGTTGAGGTATGGCAAATGTTGAGGTATGGCAAATGTTGAGGTATGGGCAAATGTTGAGGTATGGCAGATGTTGAGGTATGGGCAAATGTTGAGGTATGGCAGATGTTGAGGTATGGCAGTGTTGGGTATGGCCGGCCAAAGATCCAGGTACGACTTGTGTTGAGCTCTGTGTGCAGTCCTAAGCTCAATTGTGTGCAGAAGTACTAAGCTCAATTGTGTGCAGAAGTACTAAGCTCAATTGTGTGCAGAAGTACTAAGCTCAATTGTGTGCAGAAGTACTAAGCTCAATTGTGTGCTGCGCTGCTTGCTGTGTATGCTGCGTTGTGTGCTCTAAACTTTGTCTCGTGTTTCCCTTGTGCGCCATGTGTTTTGTGTGGTGGGTGGTGTGCTAGTTTTGAGGCGCCTCAAAACTAATTTGTCTCGTGTTTCACTGTGCGCCATGTGTTTTGTGCGGTGGTGTGCTGTCTGACGTGTGTTTTGTGCCATGTGTGCCGTGTGCAACGTACCATGGAGTGCAGACGTTCCGACTGACACTGAGGTGCATGAAGCATTGGGCCAAGAAGCGAGGCGTATATTCCAACGTGAGTCGCTCCTGCTGTGTGCGTTTCCCTCGCCCCTCGTTCCTCCCCGCCCCTCGTTCCTCCCCGCCCCTTGTTCCTCCCCGCCCCTCGTTCCTCCCCGCCCCTCGTTCCTCCCCGCCCCTCGTTCCTCCCCGCCCCGCATTCCTCCCCGCCCTCCATCCCTTGTTGCTCCTACTGATGCACCTGTTCCCCACTTATCCCACTCCCAATCTGCCAATAGTGCTCTAATTCTTCCAGTCCGCACCCCCCCCACCCCGCCACTCTCCCGTCGGCACCTGCAGCACACCCTGTTTGTAGGCTTGCACGTGTAGCCGTGCTGGCTCGCAGGTCCCACTGTGGAATCATAGCCACAGCGCACGGGGCCAACCCAAGCCTCTCGCCTTGTCCTCTGCCTCTCTCTTCAATGCTCCTTGCCCCCCAACTGGGCGGGGTGAACTGGGCGATCCTAGCAAGGCGCGGGCCAGCTCTACCTCAACCTGCACCCTCTCTCCCCCCTTTCCCCCTCGCCCTCACTCCTCCCCCCACCCCCCAAAACAGGTCGCGGGGTGCCTAGGCGGAGTGAACTGGTCGATCCTGGCGGGGCGCGTGTGCCAGCTGTACCCCAACGCGGCGTCCTCCATGCCAGTCACTCTCTTCCTCCGCTTCTACACGCTCTGGCAGTGGCCTTCTTGACACCCGCCCTCTCCTCTTCTCCTTCCCCTCCCCTCTCCCCTCCTACCCTCCTTTCCCTCCTTCGTCCTCTCCTCTACCCCTCTCCCCCTTCCCCTCCCCCATTCCCCCATTTCCCCCTCCCGCCCTCCCCCCTCCAACCCCTGCCAAAATAGGCCGCGGGGTTCCTGGGCGGGGTGAACTGGGCGGGGTGAACTGGGCAATCCTAGCGGGCCGCGTGTGCCAGCTGTACCCCAACGCGTCGCCGTCCTCTCCACTCCCCTGCCCCTGCCCCCCTTCTCCCCGTTCCCCCTCGTGCAGGTCGCGGGGTTCCTAGGAGGAGTGAACTGGGCCATCCTGGCAGGGCGGGTGTGCCAGCTGTACCCGAATGCAGCCCCCTCCATGCTAGTCGCGCGCTTCTTCCGCTTCTACACGCTCTGGCAGTGGCCGCTGCCCATCATGCTCACCATCATCGACCACGGCGTCATGGGCTTTAACTTTCCCATCTGGGACCCCAGAAGGAACCCGCGCGACGCGCTGCACCTGATGCCGATTATCACCCCCGCGTACCCGTGCATGAACAGTAGTTATAATGTCTCGGAGAGCACGCTGCGGGTCATGAAGGATGAGTTTCGGCGCGGGAAGGAGATTTGCGATCGGATTGAAGGGGCGGTGGGAGGAGGGGGAGCGGCAGGGGGAGCCGGGGGAGCAGCGGGGGGAGCAGCAGGGGGAGGCGCGGGGGGAGGGGGGACGGGGGAGCAGAGGGCGGAGTGGGCGGAGTTGTTTGAGCCGTTTGCGTTCTTTGAGGCGTACAACCACTACTTGCAGATCGATATCAGTGCTGCCAGCGATGCCGACATGCTCAAGTGGAAGGGCTGGGTGGAATCAAGACTGCGCACGCTCGTCACCAGGGTGGGTGTGGGTGTGGTCGGAAATGGGTGGGTGGGGTGGGTGGGAGTGGGTGTTGGTGTGTGTGTGTGTGTGGGTGGTGGGGTGAACTGCCTCACAACCTCCCTACTTTTCAATTCAACCTCCCAACTTTTCAACCTCTCGATTCAACCTCCCAATCTTTCAACCCCTTCCACCGCCCGTCTCTTCCACCACCCGTCTCTTCCATCAGATCGAGCGGCATACAGACGGGCTGCTGCAGTGCCACCCGCACGTGTGCGAAATCCACGACCCGGCCCGCTCCTACCCGCACTGCCTCTTCTACATGGGCCTGCAGCGCCGCGCCCCCCCCACTCCCACCCCCACCACCCCGGGCACCCCCGGCGCTGAGGACGGCGGGAACGCCGGAGGGGGAGCGCGGGAGTTTGACATCCGGTACACGGTGGACGATTTCAAGAGCACGGTGGAGAGCTTTCAGATGTGGCGCGAGGGCATGGGGATCGACGTGCTGTATTTGAAGCGCAAGCAGCTGCCGCTGTTTGTCTTCCCGGGCGGCGTGAAGCCGCGACGCGCGTCCCGAGGGGGGAAGGGGTCGGGGAAAAAGGAGAAGGGGGCGGGAGGGGTGTCGCCTGCGAATGGAGGGGGGCGGGTGTTGGGGAAGCGAGGGGCGGAGGAGGGCGGGGAGCAGGGGGAGGCGAAGAGGGCGCTCACACCTGCTGCTGCTGCTGCTGCCGCTGCTGTTTCTGCGTCTGCTGCTGCGGCTGCGGCGGCTGTGGGGGCTGCTGTGGGTGGTGTGGCAGCAGGAGCAGGATTGTCGCCCGTGTCCCCTGCTCTTGTGGCTGTGGGTGCTGCTGGTGGTGTAGCGGCAGAAGGAGGCGATGTGGTGGGGAGAGGGGCGGGTGGAGGGGTGGAGGGTGCGGGGGGAGCAGAGGTGCCGCAGGCAGGAGCAGCGGCAACACGCGTCACTGGCAGCCTGGACGAACTGGAGGTGGCGTTTGCTTGCTGCGCATGAAATCCGCTTTTCTGTTTCGTATGCTTCATGTTTCGCGTTTTGTCTGCCTCGTGCTGCATCTTTATTGGCAAGCAAGCCTCTGTGTCCCACCGTCGCCAGCCTTGTTCCACGCTCCTCTGCTTGCCTTTTCCCTGCTATTGCCACCTCTCTTCCCTCTTTCCCTACCCCGCTCCCTTCTCCCCCCCTGCCATCTGCCTTTCCCCCCCTGTCTCTCTCCTGCCATCCTGCACTCCCCCAACAGGCGGTGCTGCCAGGGGCAGCGCATGGCAGCATGAGGCAGGAGGCACGGCCTCGACCCACTCTCAAGTGCGCCCCTGGCACCCCCGCCGCCCGCTCACCTGCCTGGCCCCTCACCTTCCGCCTGCAAGTTTTATCGTGTGTTTTTTGTTTTTTCACTTCTTCAATGCACCCACGTGTTTGTTGTGTTGTTCGTCCCATGGTTGCCTTCATCTTATCCCGTGGTTGCCTTCACCTTATCCCATTGTTTTTCCCTCTCCCATGATTCCCTTCCATCGCCCTTCACTCTTCTCTTGTGCCGTTCACCTGCACGCATCTGTTGCATCTTTCCTCGTTTCTCTGCTAGCTCCCCGATCGTCCCAATTCTCGTTCACGTGTGCTGCCCATCCCCGTCACATGCGCCACCATTTCTACATGAGCCACCCATTTCCGTCACATGTGCCGCCCATTCCTGCAGGCTGAGCTTTGCGTCAGGCTTGGCTGGTCGAGTGGGACGAACCTGAGGCAGCAGCAGGTTCGGCAGCAGGTGAGGTGCCAATAGGTTCGATCCGTTCCTGCGTGCACGTATAGGTTTGACTGAGGGGTGACTTGCCTGCTGTGGCCTTTCTTCTGCTCGCCCAGGGACTAGTGTGATGGTTCTGCGTGGTGGTGGTCCTTACACCTACCGTACACGCTGTCAACGTATGGTTTCATCTTGGATGCGGCAAGCTTGGGACTAACAGCGGTAAGGAACTGAGCATATTGCTTGGTTATTAGGTTTTTTTCTCTCTCTCTTGGGGTTTTACTAACTTAGATGGTGGGTGTGAGTGTGGTGGTGATGGGATGGGGTTCCTTCGTTGTGCTTCACGAGGAGTCTTGCTGCTGAAGAAACATCGTGTCTGGCGGAGCATAGTATTACTAATCGTAGATGTCGGATCTTGTATCATGCATTTATATATGCTCCGTTCACATTATTTCGGTTGACATTAGTTTCTTTCATGAGGTGGTGCTGCATGATTTCTAAAACTACCTATTCTTGAGGTTCATAAACAAGCTTACGAATGATATTTTTAGGGTGTGTAATACAAGGATGTACGAAATTGCTGTTGGGAACTGAACGAAACGCTGCGATGGGAAATTCTTTGTGAGATCGGGTCTCCTTGGGCCCTACACGTGGCAGCCTCGTGTCCCTCTAGCCGACCATAACCGGTCTAGGCCAATCACGCACGTTTCGCATCTTACGGACCGCGTCCGCTGAAGCTAAATCGTCCTCACAAGCTTCCTCGGCTCTCTCTGCCCATCCATCCTTAACAGACGGACCTTGCGCATATCTGCTTGTAAACAAAACAAACCGACCCAAAACGCTCTCAATCCTTCAAGGCAAACTTTCTTTATCCACTCTTTCTCCTTTCCTCTCTGTTTTCCTTTGTATCTACCAACCAACCTACTCCTTTTCCTTCCTTCGAGCTTGTCGATCGAGATCGCTACTTGCTTTTCTGCCTTGCGTTCCTTGTGAACCCTAATCAGGGATCAGGGTTTTGCGCAACCAGCAGCCGCACTCACGTGCCTAGCGTGATTCACGGCTGCTGCTTCTAAGCCGGTTCGTACGTCTCCGTTTCCGCGATGGCGGACGCCAGCGGGCCAGAGAACGATAAGAATATAGAAATATGGAAAATCAAGAAGCTGATTAAGGCTCTCGAGCAGGCGAGAGGAAACGGGACGAGCATGATCTCGCTGATCATGCCGCCGCGCGATCAGGTCGCGCGAGTGGCGAAGATGCTCGGCGACGAGTTCGGGACGGCGTCGAACATCAAGAATCGCGTGAACCGGCAGTCCGTGTTGGGCGCTATCACGTCCGCGCAACAACGACTCAAGCTCTACAACAAGGTATCTATGGTTTACTTTATTCGTCACAGCGAATTTAGGTGTGCTTACGCAAAAGCAATGCTTACACCTCTTGCGTTGCACGAACACTCAGAAGGAGATGCCATGGGCGTCGCGCGATACTACAGAATAGAACGCGATGCCACCGTTTTAGCGTCGTTTGACGACGGTTTAGGAAAGGTCGATGCGCTGCGGCTGGTCGTGAGCGGTCACGGAAACGATCAGCGATTGGTAGGTGTATGTGATTGGACTCGGTCATGGTTGAAGCCCGGCTTTTGCGTCCCGCTGCGCTCACCATCTCGTGTGTAGAACAAGCGAATCTGTCGTGCCGGGAATTCAGGAAGCAGTTTTTCAAGTAGCTGCCGCATAGGCGCCAGATCCGCGCCGATTCACGCCACGAGAGAAACTCTGTTTTTGCCGGTTCTCTCTTCCTTTCTCTCCTGCAAATTTCTAGTCACAATCCCTCTTCACACTCCGTCTGCCAGGTCCCTCCCAACGGCCTGGTGCTATACACACGGACATCATCGTGACAGACGAAAGTAAGGAGAAGAAGGTGACGATCGAGAGTTCTTCCCCGTTCCTTTTGAGACCTCGCTTCGATCGTTCCTCGCTTCGAAAGTTCAAAAACAACCTCGCTTCACGTTCTTCCCCGTTCCTTGTTCCTCTTTCACCCTCCTTAACACCCTCCCTCAGGTCCCTCCCAACGGCCTGGTGCTATACACGGGCACGATCGTCACAGACGACGGCAAGGAGAAGAAAGTAACGATCGACTTCGAGCCGTTTAAACCCATCAACGCATCGCTGTACCTCTGCGACAACAAGTTCCACACCGAGGCGCTCAACGAGCTGCTCGAATCCGACGAGAAGTTCGGTTTTATCGTGATGGACGGCAACGGCGCGCTCTTCGGCACGCTCTCGGGCAACACGCGCGAGGTGCTGCATAAGTTTACGGTGGATCTGCCCAAGAAGCACGGGCGCGGAGGGCAATCCGCGCTGCGTTTCGCGCGGCTGCGCATGGAGAAGCGGCACAACTACGTGCGCAAGACGGCGGAGCTTGCGGTGCAGTTTTTTATCAATCCGCAGACGTCGCAGATCAACGTGTCGGGATTGGTGCTCGCGGGCGCTGCGGAGTTCAAAACGGAGCTGAGCCAATCGGACATGTTCGACCAGCGCTTGCAGGTGAGGTTAGGAGCGACGCAGTGCGGTGGAGGTGGGTGCTGGTGAGTACCCGTGGCGCGAGGGGGATTAGATATGGATATGGAGAGGGAAGTCGTGGGGGGGCATGGGGGCGGCGGAGCGGCGTGGGGCATTGTTTGTCTTTTCACACTCTCGGTTCCTCCCTCTCGCTTTCGTCACCCCCCCTCACCTCTCGTCAACCCCTCGTCCGAGTTAAATATTTTCGATTTCCCCCATTCATCACCTTCCGCACCCTTCTTTACCCCTCTGCAACCCTCGCAGTCGAAGATCCTGAACGTGGTGGACGTGTCGTACGGCGGAGAGAACGGGTTCAGCCAGGCCATCGAGCTCAGCGCCGAGCTGCTCGCCAACGTCAAGTTCATTCAGGTGAGAATGGAATGCAGAGCGGTTGGGTAAGAGGGAGAGCGGTGTGGTGGTGAAGGCATGCATTGGTGGGAGGTGAGGTGGTAGGTGAGAAGCGAGGCAATGCCATGCCATGGAGCTCAGCGCGGAGCTGCTGGCTAACGTCAGTTCTTCCAGGTGAGGATGGGGTGGAGAGCGGTTGGGTGAGGCGCAGGGTTGTCAGGGGGTACTCGGGTGAGATGCTGTTGTGGCGAGAGGTGCAATGCAATGCAATGCAATTCAAGCTGGCAGCCACGCCATGGAGCTCGGCGCCGAGCTGCTGGCTAACGTCAAGTTCATCCAGGTGGGAATGGAATGCAGAGCGGTTGGGTGAGAGGCAGAGCGGTGCGGTGGGTGCGTGCATGGGTGAGAGGTGAGAGGCGAGTCAACGCCAGGCCATGGAGCTCGGCGCGGAGCTGCTGGCTAACTTCACGTTCTTCAAGGTGCGAGGAGGGGGATCAGGGGATAATAAAGAAGAGGGGGTAGGCATGAAGACGATACATATGTTATAAAAGGAGAAGGGGGCGATTGCGAAGCATAAGGCAGACAGTGGGCAATGAATAAAGGAGAAGGGGTACTTGCTTGGAGCGTATGTCATTTGAGAATTCTTAAAAAACGGATTCAGCCTAATATCGCCCTCCCCCCTTTTTCGAGAATTCTCAAAAAACTAGACGGACAGTGGGCAATGAATAAAGAAGAAGGGGTACTTGATTGGAGCGGATTACATGCCAGTCCTCTCCTCATCCTCCCCGCCCTCCCGGGTCTCATTCCCCTGCTGCCCCGGACCCTCATTCCCTCTGTGTTCCCCCATGTCGCGCCATTCGTGACCTTTTTTGGGAGAAGCGCGTGATTGGTCGGTACTTTGACGAGATCAGTGAGGACACGTGCAAGTACGGGAATGGAGCGGACGACCACAATCCTTACCCTCCCTGCCCTCATTCCTCTCGCGCTCCGTTCCCTTGTGCTCGTTTCTACACCAGGAGAAGCGCCTGATTGGTCGGTACTTTGACGAGATCAGCCAGGACACGGGCAAGTACGTGTTTGGAGTGGACGACACGCTCAAGGCGCTCGAGATGGGCGCCGTGGAGATTCTGATCGTGTGGGAGAACCTCGACGTCAACCGATACACACTCAAGGTGAGACTGCACACATGGGCATTGCCTGGGTCGCAAGTCTCATACGGGTTCCAAGGCCATGTGCAGGGTGGGTGAGATGGGCGCTGTGGAAATCTTGACTGTGTGGGAGAAGCTTGATGTGGACCGATACACGCTCAAGGTGAGATGCGGTGGGCGGGAGAAACAGACTCACGGTCATGGTGGGGGGGGTGCATGGCATGGAGGAGCATGGGAATGGAGGTGATGGCATGGCATGGGGTACGAGGGCAACAGCCATGCGATGCTGTCAGCGCTTGACATGTTCACCCTTCTTCACCTCTTGTCACCGCTCTCCACCCCACCCCTTTCCACCCATCTCCACCACACAGAACGCAGTGACAGGCGAGATAGTGATCAAGAACCTGAGCAAAGAGCAGGAGGCCGACCAGAGCAATTTCCGAGAGGCGGAGACGGGAGCAGAGCTGGAGGTGCAGGAGAAAACGTCCCTGCTGGAGTGGTTTGCAGAGGGGTACAAGAAGTTTGGGTGCACGCTGGAGTTTGTGACCAACAAGAGCCAGGAGGGGTCGCAGTTCTGCCGAGGGTTTGGGGGGATCGGCGGCATTCTGAGGTACCAGCTGGACATGAGAACGTTTGATGAGGCGAGCGATGACGACGCCGTTTACGATGATGACTCGGATTAGGGCGGGCTATGGTAGTGGCGTTGGCTGGATGGGGCGGATGGGCTGGTTGGTATCAGCTGGACATATGAACGTTTGAGGCGAGCTACGATGACGCTGTTCACGGTGCTGACTCGGGTTAGGACGAGCTGCAGACTCGGAGCGAACTGAGGGTGGATGTGCGTGGGGAGGAAGGAACTTGTGGCACAAATTAGCGTGATCTGCGAGCTTGGGGCCGTGCCGCAAAGTAGGGTCGAGTATGAGCAGGAGCTGGCTGCTGATTGGAGGGGAGCCCGTGGGTGCGGAGTAGGGTGGGTTGCAGGCACACGCTGGTTGTGGTTGGGGTGGAGCTGGTGTAGGGAGGCGAGTCTAGTGGAGGAAAGGTGGTGTGGGGCAGCAGTTTTTAGTGGAGCACGCTGTGTGAGTGGGGTGATGGGGAGGAGGGAGGAGGGATGGGGAAGGTGGGACAGTGGTGAATGGCGAGTGGAATTTGGTTGAGAAGAACGAGGAAGGCAGGGAGGGCAGGCAGGGCCGGAAGGGCAAGCAGCTTGGGGATCACTCACAGCAGCAGTCAGTGGTGGGATGGTGTGCGCAGCGGTGGTTAGCTCTACCTTGAATCAACGGGAGGGTGGAGGCACAGGGTAGGAGGAGATGGTTAGAAAGACGCAGAGAATGTTCGAGGCATGCATGCGCGGTCCAGTTCCTGCTTCCAAATCAACCGTGCCTGTGGTATTGTGGTTTTATTGGGACCCGCTGTGGCTGGCTGTATTGCTGTGTTGAGTGGAGACCTGCTCCCCTGCGGCAAGCATGCTGCTTTTGTTCTAGCTTCCCTCCATGGCTTTGATGGAGCAGCAGATAGGTGTCCTACCGTACATGGCTCATCATTTTTGTTTGTTTTGCTTCGGTGGAGGTACTGAGTAGGAGGTAGATTCCCACTTGTGATCTGCAGCGCTCAGTTATCATGGGTGTAATCACAGCTGTTTATTTTTTCTCTTGCCATGTCAGCATGGCTGTGGGGATGGTGTGGCTCGTTGGTGGTGAAGGCCATGGATACATGCTGATGCTGGCATGCATGTTGGATGTAAGACCAAATCCTAGAAACATAAAAATTATCCAGCCTATTAAATAGCATGATCTTTGGACGCCTGCAAATTCAGCTGCCATGATGAGAAGTCCCGTCTTACTGTGCACAAAAGAGTAAGCATCTGGAGCTCAACCTGCCACAATACAAATAGTTGGGTGAAGAATTTGTTTTGGGCTATATTTATTGTCTTGAAATGTTGTGAAACACAATGGTGTTTCATTTAGTGCACAATACATCATCAGTCGTAACTGGAAACAATATGACGTTACCTTGCTGACTCATTGTTCACGTGATATCATCATGTCGTGTCTTCTCTGGATCCAGCAAGGATGATGCTGGTCTAGGCAGTCCTTCCTCCGACCACATGAGCAAATATCAGGAACACAGCATCTTTCACAAACCTTTGTGTGGTGTGTGTAGGGTAGGGGTGTCCTGAGAAAGGTAGACGTCGGACTGGGAATATCTCCTCTGCATGAAATTTTCATTTACGAGAGCAGGAGAGGAATTATGGAGGCAATCTACACGAGAACCGCAATTATGCCAGTTCTCCAGATTCACATGCTTATGGCGTGTGTCGGTGCGCTGGACCTCCGAGATACTGACGCGGATCACATGGGAGCTGACTCTTTATTCTTGTATCATTGGTCGTTGATTGCCTTTTCGAGTTTCACAAGGACAATCATTAGGTTTCGCACGGAGTTATCCGTGATCCAATTGGAGGAGACGATAGCCTGACAAGGTTGACCTTTTCCGCTTGGCAGAAGTCTACTCTTGTACATATCACGATTCACGACAGATTTGCCATGAAACAATTCTGCCAAACAGCATATTTGTGACGTGGCCAAGGCTGGTCACATTTTCGTTGTGCTGACTGATTAACTGAATTTACGGAGACTTTCTGTACTACGTTTGACATTATTAACAGTAAGGTTCCGCCAGCTTTTGAAAAGTTTGGAATGTTTCTGGATTAGCTTCGAGCTGTTGGCAGAATTGGTGACGTGAATGGAGGAATGTCACTGGCCCACACTCCCACGTGGCGTCGTTATAGCGGCTTGTCTGACGTAATGGCAACTTAATTCTATCGCTGGCGTGGTGGCCGATGGCCATTCGTCGTCAATTTAAGCTGGGGGAGGCTGCAGCTGCACAGCATCTCTGTCTTGGCTTTTGACCGAAAGCGATGGCACTGTACAGTGCCAAGGGATTGGCCATGCCATTACACGACCACGCGCAGCACTGCCAGCGGAGATATTCCGCTTGTTCCTTGGAGGAAACCCCCAAACAATTGTGAGCCGTAACTTCTCGACCTTGGCGGGATCGTCTGAGATTGGCCGAGCAGTACACGAAACTGTACACTGATGTGGCGAATGTGCGCCTCCTCACGGAGAAATCCTGCTGCAGCATCTGCTCCTTGCAGTCTGTGTACGGCTGGCCGTTTGAGGTGGCATTGTATCGGGACCGCCGCTGACGCGGAGATTTCACGAAGTGAAACTGAAGCGCCAGCGGAGCGCGGAAATGCTGACGCAGTCCAACCCCCAATCTCCCGCGCATTCGAGCGCGCCGAACCCAGTCAAACTCCATTGCGCTGTACTGTTCCGTTTCCCCCAACCACTCCCCATCCCCCAAGCAACCGCATCCAACCTGCAATGGCCTCTAGCATGAACTCTCGTCTCGACTCCACCCCACTATGGCAACTCGTCGCTGCTTGATCTTCCGCCCGTCCTCGCCTCACCTGCCTTGGGTGGCTTGAGTTGCCTCAATCCTTGCCAATTTCCCGACGTTTCCCGATTTCCCCCCCTTGCCGCACTTCCCGCCCGCACCCCAGCAGCACAGCAGCAACGCCTCAGTTCAGTTCCTCTCGCATCCCCTCTCCCCAACCGAGTCCACTCATTCCTCTATTCGCACGCCACACAGGCTGGCTGGGTGTGGGTTTTGGGAGTCAAGAAGGGACTGGAATGGGATGAGATGGGAGGTGCATTTGGACAGGAGATTGAAAGGTGCAGTCGCAAGCAACCAATTCCCTGCCTCGATTCATCAGTCGAGACACGCAACTGCCAGCATACTTGGCCGGACTGTGCTGCACACTACCACCAATCCCCGCCTCGCTCCATCTCCCACGTGAACCGTTTCGTAGTGGACGCACACAACCGTTTCTGTCGACGTTTCTACTTCCCTGCATTCTTGCTCCTTTCCATCTCTCCTTATCTCTTCACGTAGTATCCTAATACTATCTGATAGCATCGAGCAGCAATTTCCAGATTTAGTTCATCTAGAAGTGGCTTCTAATGGGGCTCCCCGTGAATCACGCTCGTACTCCCGTCAACGACGCCAATGTTCGCGCCTGGCTGCGAGGCTCCATCGACGACGCAATGTGCGACGTCGCACACTCGTTACAGTCACAAGCAAACGACATAATGTGCACAGATGTCCAGCCCGAACACACCGCATCGCTCCCTAGATCCTACGGAAGCCATTTCCCATTCAGTATTTCCCGTTTTTTCAGCCGAAAAGGCTCCCGGCGAGCGCTTTATTCGCGGCCCGACCAACCCGATGCGGCGGCGGACCTCGCGAGCGGAAATGGCTCGCTGAGCGCCATGGAGGACGCGGCGGTTCGCCACCACATGAGCTGCATGACTCCTGAGTAAGTAGGAGTACAATCCAGTGCAGTCTCTGTGAGCGCAGTACTATTCTATGCAATGCATGCGAGTGCTTTGAGAGCTTCGACCACGGGTGAGGAGAGTAAATGCTCCTGGTCAGCCTGTAGTAACTTCCTTTTCCCCTACATTATGATTTCCATGAGAGCCTAGAGGGTGGAAGTGAGAACGGGAGGGGTTGGAACGCCGAGAGTGGGGGAGAGATACACGTCCGGCCGACGCAGCATCAGTCCGTACCTTAGTTTGAAAGACTCTTGCCTGACCCATGTCTCTTCCATTCCGTTTTGTCGACCCTCGCTGTCCCTCCTTGCAGCTATGCTGCCAAGAATTACTCGCGGTCCGACGTGCTGCAGCACATGGACCTTCTAAAGGAGGCGTCGGCGCTTAAAGAGGGTGTGCCTGCGCTGCGGCTCGACATGCGCGCGACCGACAGCGGTGACTCGACGACGACGGGCGACGAGAGCGAGACGGACGACTCGTCGATTGGCGGGTTTTCGTTATCGTCAGTGGACGACATTTCGTGCACGGGAATTATGAACATCAGTTTCGCGTGCAGCGCGCGCGTCTGCAAGCGGAGCTTGACCGCGGCCTTCCAGCGCACCGGCGTCCGCGTTCTAGACTGCTCCGTGTTCCGAACAGTCCACGGGTACACATTGGGTTTTTTCACCGTCCGAGCGGCTATATCGCAGATATCGAAGCGGCAAATAGAGGAGATATTTACGGTCGCCGGCAAGCAGACCTCGCGACCCCGCTCCGCCACGTCCATTCCGACCACAATCCCCAACTGCCAGTCAGAACTGTCCACGTCAGCCCTAGATAGACCAACCCTCTTTTCTGACAGCTCGGCGCGGAAGCCGCCTGTTAGTCCACGTCTCACTACTCGAGTCCCGTCGTCGAAGAGCATCGCAGGCGACGCGAACGACCTCCTGCAGGTGTTACTCTTCAACAGTCGCAGCGCGTCGAACCAATTCAGCGAGTTCCTCCTCAACCCTCTCAAGCTCGAAATCGGCGCGCTTATCGCCGTCGGCGCGTCGGGCGAGGTGCGCCGCGGCAGCTACGAGGGGAAGGCGGTGGCCGTGAAGATAATGAAGGGTGACACTATCGATCGCCACGCCAGCGCGACGGAATTCCGGCAGGAAGTGCAGACGCTCATGTCGTGCGACGAGTGCCCGCGACTGCTCGAGTTCGTCGGCGTGTGCCTCGACACGCGCCGTCGCATGTGCATCGTCACGCGACTCATGGAGGGCGGCACGCTCAGTGACCTTGTGCGACGTCGCCACGGCGAGCGACTCCCGCTCGGCGACGCCCTGCGAATCGCGCACGATGTCGCAGAGGGGATGTCGTTTCTCCACGGGCGCGGCGTGATTCACCGCGACCTGAAATCCGCCAACGTCCTCCTCGATTCCGCCGGCCGCGCCGTCGTCGGCGATTTCGGCGTGGCGCGGCTGAAGGGGGAGCGCGGCGACATGACCAAGGAGGTCGGAACTTACCGTTGGATGGCGCCCGAAGCGTTCGGTACGAGCGCGTGGCACGTGACGCACAAGAGCGACGTGTACAGCTTCGGAGTCGTGCTCTGGGAACTCGTCGCGTGTCAACTGCCGTTTGAGGATTACACTCCGTTACAAGCCGCGGTGGCGGTGGCGCTTAACGGGTTGCGCCCGACGATCCCGGCGGACTGCCCAGTGGGGCTGCGGCGGCTGATTGAGCGGTGCTGGGATAAGTGCCCTGAGGCGCGGCCTGAGTTTGACGAGGTCGTGAAGGAAATCGCTGCGCTGCAAGAGCAGTTTTGTCCGTGGACCAGCTGTGGTGATAATCCTGCTGCTGATGCTCCCTGACGATGCTGAGGAGGTGGAGCACCGTGTGGGAAGAGTGAAGCTCACAGCATGGGCGCAAGCCTTGTGAGCAGGACGCTGTCACAGAGTGCCGAAAAGGGAGCTGGTGAAGCGCGGATGACGAGACGTGCTTGTACAGAGGACAATAAGCATAGGTCACCGATACTGGGCTGCCTTCAGATTAGTGTGGTTCTCACATGCATTTTTGCTCAGCTCAGAAGGTTATACAGAGCACAATGGTGGACTTGTAGGTAGCAGTGGTGTGGAGATGCACACAAGTGCAGACGCCGATGTACAGAGTCTGGTGGAGATAAAGCAGATTTGTAATTAGCCGCCTCATGCTGAGGTCATTCTCACATGGCAGCCTTTTAGTGAGCTCCATCTCGTGCTTTCCTGGTGTGCATCTATGCCTTGAATCATTTCTGTGCGGCTGTAAGGAATTTTCTCGGCATTCCTTACGGAGCCAACTACATCGCGTACAGCAACAGCCGATTGTTCGCCCGTTACTGCTAACGGAACTTCGCCGACTTCGCGCGCACTGTTTTGCCAAACCTCGCACTGCTGGCATGGCCGTATCGGCCTACGCTTCGGGACTAGCCCGAGCCTCGCTCCAGCGTAGCACTAGCAAGCTCGCACGCACCGCGTTACCGTTTTGCATGTTTCGCGTATAAATGTTCGCTCATGCCTTCGCTCACATTTTGTACTCGTTTGACACCTTAGTGCAATTCTCGCTACTTCGATTCATTGCACCCGTAACACTTGGTTATCAGAGCCCCTTTCTTTCGGACCGCGCATCTCCGCACACCAGGAAATCAACTTTTGATTTTTCACTCGAAGGGACTCACGCACCTTAGCCCCTAGGAGCCGCTGTCCTCGCGTTCTCTCGTAAACGCGTGCAGCCACGACTGCGCCTAGACTAAGACGAGCCGACGCCCTTCGTCATGGCCGAAAATATCGACGTCACCACCCTCACGCAGGAGCGTTTGAACGATCTGCTGCGACAGCTGCACGAAAGCTCCGAGGAAATCGCGGCATTAACGGCAGAACGCTCATCGCTGCAAAATGACCTCATGAGGGCACAACAAGCACAATCCCAAGCACCTGGCACTCCGATTCAACCTGCACCCTCAACATCACAACACGGGAGTGTGGGGCAACCCGTGAGCGCGGCCAGTGATGGCGTCGTCCGCCCCGACGGAGACGACGACCACGGCACGACACACCCCAGAGCGACGCCTGCGGCCCCAAGTCAGCCCCGCGTCACGATTTCGGCACCAACCCACGATTCGGGACTGCCGTCACAGATGCCACTGAAGCCGCAGCGCCCGCCATGCTTTGACCCGAGTCAACGGGGTGGTCCTACCGTCCAGGCGTGGTTGTTCACAATGAATGTCTTCTTCGACGCCAACTACGTCTCGGAGGACTCGGCGAAGATTCGATACGCCGTGTCGTTGCTGCGAGGACCCGCCATGGACTGGTGGCGCGTCATCGTCACGAAGCCGACCGACTACGCGACACTACCGACACGGGAAGGACAAACCGGACCCTGGGCGCCGTCGTATTTCGTGGAGGTGCCCCAGTATCGCACGTGGGACGCGTGGTGCGCAGGTCTGCGCGCTCGATTTGAGCCAATCGCGGCCTCGATCTCGGCGCGACAGAAGCTCCGCACTTGGCGCCAACTCGGTTCCGTCCAGGATTACACGAGCGGATTTCTGGCGCTATGCGAGCAGGTGGGCTACATGCATGAGAGCGAACGCATCGACCGCTACATCGGCGGCCTGAAGCAGGACATCGCTCAGGAAATCCAGCTTCGCGGCGTCACTGAGTTTCAGGAAATCCTCGCTATGGCGGAGAAGCTCGACTTCTTTCGCCGACCGAGACCGGGGTCCTACGGAAACAACACCTGGGGACATCGGCCTCGTGGGACGAACGAGAGCGCCACGATACGCGCCGTCGCCGCAAATGCCGCTGCCGCACCGTTCAAAGGGCGCTGCTTTGCGTGCAATCGGCCGGGACATCGCAAGAGCGAATGCCCGGAAAACGCTAAGGGAAAGGGGGAAGCTGAGCAGCAGACACAGACCAAGCAGCAGGGAAACGCTGGAAGTCAGTAGCAGACGTGCCCTCTACTGACAGGTCACGCCGCTCGCCCGACCCAACCGACCCTCACCGAGTGATTGTGCCGGTTCACGCAATCGACCACACCCGGCCGAATAAGGAGGGTACCACGGTAGATAGCCCTATACTGCTCAGTGGGAAAATTGGGACGGACTTAATTAAAATCTTCGTAGACGGGGGAGCCAGCCACAGCCTCATTAACACTGCTACAGCACGAAAACTGCGACTGCCACTGGACCGATGCTTACCTGAGATCGACGCACGACTGGTAGACGGCACGCCGCTGGCAATACGAGAACGCGTAGACCGAGTTCGGATTCGATGGGGGGGTAACTTCACGTTTAGTCAGGAAATGCTCGCAACGACCCTCGACGGAACCGACATTTTACTCGGGCGTGATTGGCTGCGACGACACAATCCGCGAATTGACTGGACGACGGGTGACTGCACCGTGCGAGTAAACGGTAACAACATCGCCTTACCTCGCTGGGGCTCGCCTGAGTCTTCGTCGGTGCGTGTCAATGCGATCACGATGAAACGCGCTGTTGCGGCCGGAGCCGACGTGTACGCGGTTGACATTCGGGAAGCCGAGGCAGCAGACAAGGGGGGCGATTTACAGAAACTGCTGACCGACGTACCGAGTGACCTGGCGGCACTGTTAAAACAGTACAGTGACATTTTCCCGGACGACCTGCCGACGGGACTGCCACCTCAGCGACCGCACGATCACAGGATAGAACTGGAACCGGGGGCACAGCCAACAGTACAGCGACAGTTCCGACTGACCCAACCCGAACTAGACGAACTGAGGAAGCAGCTCGATTACCTGCTCGAAAAGGAATTCATTCGCCCTAGTTCGTCGCCCTTCGCCGCACCCATACTGTTCACACCGAAAAAGGACGGGGGGTTTCGCATGTGTATCGACTACAGGGCACTGAACAGGGTTACCATCAAATCCCGTTACCCCATCCCACGAGCCGACGAACTGATCGACCAACTGCGCACAGCCCGGGTTTTCTCGAAAATTGACCTCCGGGGAGGCTACCACCAAATCCGCGTTAATCCACCCGACTGCCCTAAAACCGCATTCCAAACACGCTACGGATCTTTCGAATACACCGTCATGCCATTCGGATTGACCAACGCCCCCGCCACCTTCCAAATGACCATGAACGAAGCATTCCGCCCGCTTTTAGATAAGTGCGTCATCGTTTATCTGGACGACATACTGATTTACAGCCCTGACAGAGCACAGCACTTACACGACATCGAGGCAGTTTTTAAAATCCTAAGTGAGAACCGCCTACTGACCAAAGCATCTAAGTGTGAGTTTTTGCAGGACCGCCTAGAGTTTTTGGGACATGTTATTTCAGCTGCGGGAGTGGAAATAGACCCGAAGAAAATTGCGACGATCCAGGCTTGGCACGCGCCGACCAACTTGACCGAGTTGCAGAGTTTCCTGGGGTTCGTCAACTACGTGCGCCGGTTCGTCCCCGACATGGCGAAGCTGACTGCCCCGTTGACCGACCTACTGAGGAAGGGGGTTGAGTACACGTGGGGGGAGAAAGAGCAAGCTGCCTTCTCGGCCCTCAAAAATATTTTGTGCTCCCCGCCCGTCCTTCACATTGCAGATCCCCACCGTCCGTTCGAGCTCGTCACCGACGCAAGTGACATCGCTGTGGGAGCGGTACTGTTGCAGGACTTCGGGAACGGCCTCCAGCCAATCGCGTACGAGTCCCGCAAACTACACCCGCCCGAACGTAACTACCCGATACACGACCGCGAGATGCTAGCGATCGTGCACGCGTTCAAAGTTTGGCGATGTTACCTGACTGGCGCCGACGTGACAGTACGGACAGACCACCGCTCGCTACAGTACCTTCGCGCCCAACCGAATCTCAACCCACGACAGATTCGCTGGTTGGACTATCTCGAGTCCAATTTTCACTACACCGTTACGTACAAAAAAGGCGCATCCAACATCGCCGACGCTCTCACCCGCCCCACCGCCCAACTCCACGCCATCCTACTCGCCCAGACCAACCCACTTTTAACTGGCCTATTCACCCACGGATACCGCACCGACCCATTTTTCACGACCGGAAATTCACAGCAACTGGCAGAAGCAAAAGGAGTCTATTACGTAAAAACAGGCACCAACCGCATTTGGGTACCCGCGTACTCACTACTGAGGGAGCTGCTACTACAGGAGGCACACGACGGGATTACCTCGGGACATTTCGGGGTAGAAAAAACGCGACAGCAACTGCAGCGGTATTATTACTGGCCGGAGCTGTTGACCGACGTACAGCAGCACGTGGGCTCGTGCCCGACGTGTCAGGTGATGAAGAGTTCAAGGAAGCGGAAGGCGGGTCAATTGCAGCCGATCCCACCGCCCGAACGCGCCTGGCAGCAAGTAACCATGGACTTCGTCACAGGGTTACCTTCGAACCCTGCGGGTAACGACGCGGTGATGGTCGTCGTGGATAGGCTGACGAAGATGGCACACTTCGCTGCGTGCAGAAAGTCGATCTCAGCCGAGGAGACCGCTCGCCTGTTCATCGCAGCCGTTGTTCGCCTGCACGGGATACCAGCAGCAATTATCAGCGACAGGGACACGAAGTTTACCAGCAACTTCTGGAAGAACCTCTGGGAGCAGTTCGGGACCAGGCTACAGTTCAGTTCGTCGTACCACCCCGAGACCGACGGCCAAACGGAGCGGACGAATCAGACGATGGAGCAGTTGATTCGTGCCACGTGCGACGACCCCACGACCTGGGAGCAGCAGTTGCCGCTGATCGAGTTCGCGTACAACAACGCCACGACGCAGCAGTCCCCGTTCTACCTGAACTATGGGCAAAACCCCACAGTGCCCATGACGCCGAGTC